TCATGCTGATATGAATCCTATATTTCCCTCCACATTTTCCCTCAAGAAAATTCTTAATTTTATTAACAGGAAAAAGAAGCCAAGCAGAAATATGAAGTTTCTTGTAGCAGTTTCACTGGAATGAGGACACATAAGTTAAAGTGCAGGGATGCCAAGATAGTTAGGATTGGACCAAGATCCTCAAGAGAAAAGAGCCACAGAAATGTGAGCTCAAAGTAATGTATAAAATTCCCCTTCATGTGTTTTCCAACTCCATGTAGAATATGTGTAGGAGAGACACATAGAATCAAAGGGCAATAGGAATACCTATTGTACTAAAAAGCTAAAAAGGAACTTCTTCAGTCACTGGATGCTGTGAAGAAAGGGGTTAGAATCGAGGGACAAACAAGGTGAGGGTAACCTGGTAAATATGTCAGTCTTAGTTGAGACACCATATTAGATCAGCCCCCAAGAGAAACCAGAAAAAGACCAGTCAATAAAGCTTGAAAATAAGCCTCAAAGAAACTCTTCCATACAATATCTGCCTGCAAGATTCAAATTAAATCCTCTTTAGAGAAAGAAAACACCTTTCGGGCTCTTTACACTTTTTTCATTCATGTCTGATAGTTAATCAAAGATTGAATGTCAAAAAGGAGAACTAACTCAAAATACAAGAGATAAACAGTCAATAGAAATAAACCTACAAGTGATCCAGATGTTGCAATTAACCGAGAAAATTTTGAAAATACCATACTTTGTATATTCAAGAAAATACAGAAGATGATAGAAAACTTAAACATTAACCAGAATTTATAATAAATAAGTAGAAATTCTAAAACTATAAAAAAATGGAATAACTAAAATTAAGAATTCAAAATATAGGCTACAAATTCTTAGGTAACTCAAGAGAGACAATTAGTGAACTACAAGATAGGTCAGTAAAAAACATGCAAATTAAAACACAGAAGCACACACACACAAAAATAGATAACAATTCAAAACAGAGTTGAAAAGTCTAATGTGAAATGATGAGAAATTCTAACATATACATTTTTGGAAGCACTTTACCTCAAAGAAGAGAAATAATGAAAAAGATTAAATGTTTGAAATACTTGGCCAAGAAATTTCCAAAACTGGTAAAAGACATAAACCACAGATTCAAGAAGCCATTCAACCTCCTTACTACAAACAGAGTAAATACAAAGAAAATCACACCTTTGCTGAAAAACAAACACAGAAAATGAACCTTAAAAGTAGTCCAGGAGTGGAAGGATATCTTCAGAGAAGAAAATTAAGATTTAGTACTGACTTTTCAACGGAGTCTATGAAAGCCAGAAGCTAATGAAATAACATCTTTGAACACAAAAACTTTACCTAGAATTCTATGCCTAGAGAAGATATCCTTCAAGTTTTAAAGTAAAAGAAGTGTTCAAATGACAAAAAACGCATCTGAAGTTAAATAATTACTAAAACAAATCCTTCAGGGGAAGGAAAATAAATGCAGATGGAAGCTTGTTAATGCAGGAAAAAATGAAGTACATGGAAAAACATAACCACAAACCAACAAGCTAATGAAGGGGGGAAAAGGAAAACAAACAAAAACTTGATTCATGCAAGAGAGGGCAATAAAAACCTAAAAAAATATACATAGAATACATACGACAAACAAAAAACTCATACAAAGATGGTATTGATAAATCTAATTATATTCTATAAAAAATATTAAAATAATTTGAATATGTTAATGAAATACTATCAGAATGGAATATAAAAATAAGCAAAACCTAATTATAGTCTCTTATGATATAATAATTTTAAATATAAAACACAGAAATGTTAAATGGGAATGGCTAGAAAAATATCTATTACTATAAAATTACCAGCCAAAAGAAAGTTGTTGTAGGTATGAAATATCAGAGGAAGTAGCCACTAAGGCATTTGGTTAAAGAGGGAACCTAGAGTTAAACAAGGGAATTTTATTATGATGAAATTGTCAATGATACAATCACTTCCTATACAAAATGTGATGCCCTAATAATGTAGCTTCAAAGTATGAGGCAAAATTTGACAGAACTATAAGTTCATTTAGAGAAACCCACAATCATAGTAAGAGATTTTAGCATCCTTCGGTCAATAACAGAATTCTTCCTCCCAAAGTCACTGAGGACTCAGAAGATTTTTAAAACCACAATTAATAAACTTGAAATAACTGTGATTTTAGTAACAATATACTTAAAATTCTTTTCAAATGCTCATGGAACATTTCCCCAAATATATTATATGCTGAGACACATTTTTAAGAAACAAATAAAATCAATATTACAGCAAACTCTTTCAGAAAACAAAACAGAGGAAACATTTCCCGATGAAATGTATATGGCCAACATAACTTTGATACCAAAATCTAAATTAACAGTTTTATAAAAAAGAAAATTTATACATCCAAGTTCTACTAGTAAACCAAATTCAGAGATAATAAAAAAGATAATACATTACAGCTAAGTTGGTTTATTCTAAGAATATAAGAGTTAAAGTTTGAAAATCACTGTTATATGCATAAAAAGTATTTGATAAAATAGAACTCATATATAAAATCATCATCATCATCATCATCATCATCATCATCATCATATTAGCCTCTTGGAATGGTAAAAATATGTTAAGGAAGGTAACTTCCTTAATCAAATATAGAGTTTCTACAAGAAACCTATATTAAAACTCTTACTTAGTGGTGGAATACTGAAAGCTTTCATCCAAAGACCAGAAGCTAGAAAATGATGAAAACTAATATCACCACTATTCAACATTTTACCGGAAATAGTAAATCAAAAACAAACAAATGCACAAACAAAACAAATAAAAGGCATAAGAATTGGAAAAAAAAAATGTAATTGTTCTCAGATGACATGATGTGTATACAGAATACCAAAGACCTGAGAGATAACCTACTAAAATTAATAAGTGATTTTAACAAAGTGGCTGAATATAAGGTCAATATACAAAAATATAATATCAGAAAATATCCGATAAATCTAACCAAAAATGTACAAAACCTCTATGATGAAACCTACAAAGCATTTTTACAGAGATTTTTAATGGCTTACATAAATTGTGGGATAGTCTATGTTCATGGATTTTAAAAAGTAATAGACTAAAAAATATTATTTCTCCCAAGTTGATTTACAGATTCATTTGACCCAAGAAGAACATGACCCCTCCTTCACACTATAAACAAAAATTAATTCCAGGTGCATCTAGATTTAAATGCTGAAAGCTATAAAGTTTCTAGAATATCTTAATGATCTAGGAGTAAGCAAAGATTTCTCATATAACACAACAATTAAATTTTTTATTTGAAATTAGAAACATTCTGTTCATTAAAATTAACCATAAAGACAGTGAAAAGGTAAGCCACAGAGGTTAGAATAGTTGCAAGGGAAAAGAGAGTAGTATTCAGAATATATATAGAACTTCTACAAATCAATAAGAAGAAAAGATATACAACCCAATGAAAAAATACACAAACACTTGATCATATCACAAAAGTGAATATCTAAATGGCCAATATGCATTTTAAAAGGTATTCAAAATTATTAATTATGACAAATGAAAATTAAAACAACAATAGCTATACCACCACACACCTACTGGAATGGAAGAAAAAGACATGAAAATACAAAGTGTTGTGAAGATAGAGCTCCTCTAAAACACCCATATTCTTCTGATAGGGCTATGAACTGATATAATCACTTTGGAATACCATTAGGCACTATCAACTAAACACAGGTGAATGTTAAGGCCCAGAAATTCTATTCCTAAAAGAAATGTGACTATGTACATCAGAAGACATGCACAAGAATGTTCATAGCATTTAGCTTTAATAGGCAATACTAGAATTAACAACAAATATCTTCCAATAGTAGAATAGATTACTATTCAAAGTGTATGTATTCAAATAAAAAAATGGTGTGTTCAAATAATAGATTTAAAAAGTAGCATACTCAAATAATAGATAAAAAGTGGGTATTTTCTTTTTATTTATTTACTTATTTTTTTGAGAGAGAGAGAGAGAGCATGTGCACACCTGGGTGTGCACAAGCCAAGGAGGAGCAGAGAGGGAGAGAGAGAATCCCAAGCAGGTTCCGCACTGTCAGGACAGTGCCCAACCCTAGGCTCAACCCAACAAATTAGGAGATCACGACCTGAGCTGAAATCCAGAGTTGGACACTTAACTAACTGACTGAGCCACCCAAGTGCACCAAAAAGTGGGTATTTTTAAGATTGGTATATATACAACTATACTCAACAACATAGATAAATCTTATGGACATAATATTACATGAAATAATAAGATTACATACTGTATGATTCCACCTATAGGAAGTTCAAAATAGGGAAAACTAATCTATGATGATGGAGGTATGAATACTGCAGAGGCATGAGGAAGTCTGGAGATGTTCATATGTTTTACATCTTCATCAGAGTGGTGTTTATGTGGGTGTAACTAAGAGGAAACAGTGAGTAAAACTAATGTAAAAGGCTAGTGCTCTGTATGATAAAACAGTGCTCGATTTGGTTGGAGCATTTGGAAGTCACAGAAGTGGTATGGATGTCTTTACACTTTGGTACCTTACTGTGGACTCTTACATTAACAATATAGAGGGTGTTCTCATTTTGCGAGGCAACAAAGAACTACAAAAGACTGTTGAGCAGGGCATACATAAGCTCAGAGTTGTATTTAATGAAGGATAACTGATAAACAAAACATTGTGCAAATCATTTTGTCAAAAAGTACGCACAAACTCTTGTTAATATTCTCGGAGCACAGTCACATACTGTACATGCTTGTAGAGTAAATAAAGAGGATATTAAGAAATCAGAAGCATACCTTTTCAAGTGTTGTTTAAAATAATCTATGACATAGTGTTAAGAGGATAAAAATCTTAAAAACTGATTTAGCTCCAAAACAGTATACTAAACATTTTTAAGACCTATATTTATACGTTGTGGTTGGTACTTACTTCATCAAATGTAAAATCCTCCAAATTTATTTCTTCATATTCTTCTTCAGATTCTTCATTCTTAATAGCCTCTAAAGCTGTTGTCAGTTTCTTTCGCAAAAGGAAGCCCTTCCAAACTGCCTAAACAAAAATTTAAAGCATGTTATACAAGGTTATAGATCAAACTACAAACCAGATTCTCTGTGTTATCCCATTAGGAAGATAAAACATCTAAGCCCTTAGTTTAATGGCTCAATAATCTGTTTTTTGAACTTTATGTGACACTTAAAACTGTAAGATAAATTAAACAACTGCATGTGTCTAAAGTTCTGAATCTCAGGAGACTTTCCTTGTGGTAAGCAGAAAAGAATCTTTAAAACTCCCTCAACTGCACATGTAGGTCAACCAATCAATTATCTGACAATTCCTCCAGGACCCATTCTAAACTAAGAAGAAAGAGATACAAAGGAAAACCAATTTTTCTCATTTTCAAATAATTGTGTATAAAATAAACTAACACACATTTAGGAAAATTTCAACATATACAAATGGCCATATTAGAAAGGTATAATCTTTTCCCATAACTATTAACTAATTTCATTTTAAAATAAACTAAGCACATAAAAATAGAATTAAAATCATTCAGATTCCTTAATAATCTTGGAGTCGAGAAAGCTTTCCTAACTATAACTCCAAGAACTCTGTAGCTTTTAAATAAGTACTTTTATATACTACTAGGGAGTGAGATCTAAGACCCATTAAGTATAAAAAAACAAGATAGAAACAAGTGTATATTCTATGCTGCCATTTTTATGCAACTTTGCATATAAATATACAATAAATACATAAATTATATAAACATATACACTCAAATATATTCATATATGTATATGTGGTTGTTAATATTTACAAATAAAAGTTATGAAATTAATTTTAAAAATCATTAAGTATAGAGGCAGAAAATAGGATGCAAGATATAGCAACAGAAACCAGACTTCTCTGAATATACCTTTCTTAGATTTGACTTTGGAACTGTGCACATGCATAAGATAACTATAAAACAAACAAATATGAAATAAAAAGGAAGTCCTGAAGAGATACAAAAATATATTTTACGCTGGGGGCATATACACACGGAAGTTATTTAAAGTGACTTTAAAATATATTTATTCCTAGTCAAATATACTCAAAAGACAAATTTAACTACAGAAGATACCTTAAATATGTTTTCAATAATCATATTGTTAGTAATAATATTGGTATTGTTATCATGGAAAATCTATATATGGAGAACTGGAATATATGGACAATAGCCAGAACATACATGACAATAGAAGTCACTCATAACCTCTGCAGCAACTAGCCTTGAAAGCCAAACCACAACCTCAGCAACAAGTAGCCAAGAATGGTCAAGATTTTGTCAATGACTGTCAGCCTCCCTACTTTTGTCCCTACTTCCAACTTAGGATCAACCAAAGCTAGCCAAATAAGCTTCCCAACCAATCACACAATATGTCCTACTTTCTAGCTGCCCACTTTAATACCTTCCCCCTGCCCAAACCCTCCAATTAGACCATACCTGAAGATCTTTTTTTTCTCTCTCCCTTTCTCCACTAAAGGTTTCCTACTCTCCCCCCTGCCTTTGAGACTATGCCAAAGGCAACTGATAGTGGCTGAGTCCCTTGCTATAGCAGTCTCTGAATAAATAGCCTGTTTTTTTTTTCTTATTTGTATGGTCCTTATTTATTTTCACTAAGTATGTGCATGTGTACACAGACACAAACACAGATACACACACACACACACACACACACACACACACACACACACACACAGAAAGGAGAGTGAAAAGGAGGAAAAAAATAAAGAACAATTATGTTAATGTTATTGGGAACCAGAAATTTCCATAGAAGAAAAAAGATGCAAATATAAAATCGAATAAGTAAAAATCCTGTAGTCCTAAATTTAATATTAAAATGTCAGTATGAACCCATGGTATACTTTTTCTTAAAAATATGTGTTTGTAAGCTCCGTACAATGAAAAAACATCTAGAAACCATGACCATACCAGTAACAACAACACCTCTAAGATCCTAATTCACTCCTAAACCCAGGCTGGGTTTCTAAATATTATCCCCATTAAAGGAACCAAAGATCTTTGGGGCAATGTCTGAATCTAGGCCTGGCATAAAATGTATGCAAAACGAACCTGAAACATAATGGCACATTAGAAAGCAAGGGAAGTTTTTAAAAACTACTGAATTGTATCACCAAAGCTAATTTGAAGCTAACCTGGCCAAATGAGGGACAATTTGAGCATCAGTAAGAGTAAATTTGCAATGGAATTAAACATCATATATTTAAAAATTTTATGTGTATATTATGATAGAACACATTATGGTGACCGCTGAAGGATACTGGGAAACCTTATTAATCTAAAACTTGGTAAAAAAGCATCAAGCATTTAACCTGCCTTTCCAGTGAATTGCACCTCAAGGTAAACTACATAGTCAATTAAACAAAGTTTCTCTCTATAGACATTTTTTTTGTTTAAAAATGAAGAAATTACACAGAGTATCAATATTTTGCAAACTCTTTACAAGAATTGACCTAGGCAATTATTAACAATGGTCACTAATATTCCTAAAAGAGAGGCAACTAGACATTAGGTGCTTCTTCACTGTAATACATACAACCACTTAGAGGTATTCATTTTTTAAACTTTTTTTAAAAATGTTTATTCATTTTTGAGAAAGAGAGAGAGCACGAGCAGGGGAGGGGCAGAGAGAGAGGGAGACACAGAAACTGAAGCAGGCTCCATCCAGGCTTTGAGCTGTCAGCACAGAGCTCGATGTGGGGCTCAAACTCATGAACCATGAGATCATGACCTGAGCTGAAGTCAGACACTTAACTGACTGAGCCACCCAGGCGCTCCTGAAGTATTCTTGATAAAAAAACAAAACAAAACAAAACAAAACAAAAAAACCCAAATAATAGCAAATGTTATAACCTACTGTCAGCTTACAGAAAAAGAAGGAACCAAGAAACATGTATGTGATGCTATGGGGATACATTTGGCAAAACTCAGCAGAAAACTACAGGAGAAAAGACCTAGTTTCCTTAATAAACTGTAAGGAAAAAAGAGAGGGGGTTACTATGTATTTAAAAGACTTTTAAGTATTATTTAAACCAAAGGCAAAATGATGACTTTATTTGTATTTTGATTAAGAAAAATGTGTAAACAAACATTGATAAAACAATATAAATTTGAATATTGATTTGATATTTGGTGACATTGAAAAATAAGTTTCAATTTTTGGTTGGTAATGTAGTTCTACTTAAAGCAATAGGTCTTATAGAAATTCATAGTGAAATATTTACAAAAGAAATGGTATCTGGGATTTGTTTCAAATAGTCTAGTGATGAGTGGGGAGAGGTGGGTTGGTTACAGAAGATATCAAGGTGACATGGAGACCTAGGGAAAACAGGGTATAAAGGGAAACTTAAATCCAGGCTTTCAATAATAAGGATCAGCTCACTGTGGTTCACAACGGATCCAGCCCAACTCATCAGGGACAGGACTTCTCCAAAGCTCTAGAGTACAATATATAGTGTGTGTCTTTCTGGTGTGATATATATAGATACTTTCCTCCAGCCATCTCTGATCAGTTTATGAGAAACAAAGGTATTATAGATGTTCAGATTCATCTTCTAGCTTATTTGTTTCTGTCAAGATCTTAACTTTTCCCCAGTAATCCATCTACAATTAATTCATGTTTCTCACATATTCAAATTAATTCCCTGACCAAGAAATTGTATCTATTTTCCCTCCAACTCCCATCAACTCCCATTCCCAAAACATACTATACACTTGTTCTCTCCTAAAGGATTACTTCGTAATCATCTGGCAAACAACGAGAGGGTGAGAAAGACCATGGGGCAAAACGTTAACATAAGGTAATTCGGGTATCCAGACCTTGCTAGCTCTGTAATCCTGACAGACAGCTGTCAAGGATGCCTCAAAACCTGTCTTCATTTCAGCCAACCAGAAAGGGAAAAGAATATGAAGGGATATCTGTGCAATGTTTAATGATCCAGACATGGAGGTGGTGTACATGTCTTTCATGTACAATGTATTGACTAGAACTCAGAAAAGGAGCCATGCTAAAGTGCAGGAGAAGTTGGGATATCTAGTCTGGCTGTATGCTTGGAACAAGGGGAGAATGTGAGTTTTAGTGAGCAGAGAGCAGCCTCTACCACATCCATCATAAAATGTTCATTTTGCTCCTTCTAAAGCCCAGGCTCTTTCTATTGCTTTGTGCTCTGCTTTCTAGAATGGTAAGTCAGTCTAGAATTCATACTAATACGAATGCTGTAAGTAACCAGATGACTGTACGCAAGAGAAGAGAAAATGAAACTGAGATCACTTCAGGTGATTTTAAATACCATTGTGTACAATAAAAGAGACTTGCTCTAAGCTGCAAAGGCTGAATTATGCTTACTTTTGTCATAGATACACAGAAGCTCAACAAAAGGACATTCATCAGAGATATCAGTCCCTGAACTAGACTGTTTCACAAAGTGATAAACTTCTGTTTCTTCATTGAACAGAATGAAGCAAAAGTTTCAGATCCACATACCATCAATGCTGAACAAAGTATTCCTTATCAACTGATGACAGGAGGGAGTTTGGTCTGCATGATATATTCATTTCTCATGTTGCAGAATAATATTTTGAGATAGTAACTGAGGTTCTTTCTTTTCCTCAGAGTTTCCTTGAATCCACTGAATCCCCCCCACTCCCACCACCATTCAGGCATTAGTAATGTCTATGCATTGCCCTTAGGAGTACAGTTCAGACAAATTAAGTAAACTGAAATACTGAATATATTTATTAGAACCATAGCAAAGATAATGTTGAAAACTATGGCTTTCGTAGTAAAAGCCAGCAACTTAATTTTAAGGCTATTCCTCTAGTTGGTTATTCCAATACCTTGGAGGCATCCATGACTCCTTACGCTCTCTTACATACCACATCCCCATGAACTGATGTTATCAGCTCTACCTTCAAAATAAACCAACATATATTCTGGCCTGTGATTTTCTTACTGCTTCTACTGCAACACTCTGGCCTCATGCTACCATTATCCCTTGTCTGAATTACTGTAATATCCCCTAACTGATTTTGCTGCTTCTACCCCTGCCTTCCTACAGTATAATCACAACATAAAGGAAACTTGATCATGTGAGCCTACTGCTCAGATTCCTATAATACCTTCCCATGTCATTCAGATGACAAGCCAAAGTCTTTACACTGACTTATGATTTGTAAGTGTTACCCTTCTCCCCTCCATCACTGTTCAGTCACCCTGGCTTCTTGTTGCTCTTTATAAACACTGCAGTATGCTCCTAAATCAGTGCCTTTGATCAGATATCCCACTGTCTGGAGTGTTCTTCTCCCAGATAGCCAATGGCTTAATCTGTCACTGTAATGTCACGTTTTCTGGTCTTCCATTTCCATCATATCTAAAATTATAAACTTTCCCTTGATACTCCTGTCCTGTTTATCCTGCTTTATTTTTCCTCTTTGTACTTATCATTATCTAACATATTTATTTACTAACTGCACATCCCAACAGAATGTAAGCTAGTAAGATTTTTGTGCCAAGAAATATTTGTTGAAAGAATGGATAAAGGGAAACACTAATTTTTTGGTTACTCTCTTTCAATTCGGTACCATTATGTATTTATTTAGTTTATTTAGTTTATGTATTTATTTAGCATTATTTAGTTTTATGTATTTATTTAGTTTATTTTATATTTATGTATTTTTTTAGTTCTGCCTCTTCCACTAGAATGTAAATTCCATGAGGGCAGAGAACTTATACAGTTTGTTTATAGTTATGGTTCCTAAGCCCATAATAGTGCTTGACAAATAGTAGATTCTAAAAAATATTTGATGAATAAATAAATAATAGGATGAATGTGATTAGGTTGAACTTCACTTCAAAATCTGATCTTGGTGAGGTTGAATCAAGTCATTCAATACTTGCTCCCTGAATTTCTCATTAAAACATGTATTTGAAGAACTTTAACAATTATTTTAGTATATTTTTAAACATGCTTCTAAAAAGAGCTCTAGATTAGGCCAAGTGAGAGTTGCTATGGCTAATCAAATGTTACCAAATGTGGCAAATGGCATATTTGATCAGAAGCTTTAAACATGATTGTGTGGCTCAGTTTGGCCCTTGGTCATGAGAAATGTATTTCTAAATTATAGGCTACTCTTTCACCCTAGATACTAAGCACAGGCACAACCAACCTATGGCCTACCTGTCACCTAACTAAGTAAGAAGCAAATCCAGTAGCTGTAAATCACTGACATCCATGGGTTGTCCATTATATAGAATTACTCAGTGAAAGATGACAACTACATCTCTCAGGACTATTTCACCAAAAGATTAAAGCTAACCTGTATAAGAATAGCAGCCTTTTCCCTCTGTTCTTGGATATTCACGGTGTTTTCCCTTTTTTCTTCCTTTAAAATAGTTTTATTCTTGATGCAGTCATTGGGTTGGAATGTCAGGGGTCCTACTGCAGCAGTAGGTAGCCTTGTAGAGAAATGAATCTGTCTGCGTACCATGTAACCACGCCAGTGTGCCTGGATTACCAAAGCTGCCATACTATTCAGAAGAGAAAAGAAAACATGGTTAGAACCCATAAAAACAGTTGTAGGTAAGAGGTCCTCATAAACTATATGTATAAACATGAACTGCATCAAGTATTATTTTAAAATAAGAACATCTTTTGTTAACAATAGGCACATAGGTAAAAATGGTACGGAAAACCTTCAAATCTGAAAAAGAGAAACGGGCCAGTAACTTAGAGAGGGATGTGAGGACTAGGGGGTTTTTGTTTGTTTCTTTTAAGGAGGAAAATAATACCAAGATTTTTGTATGATAACGGAGTATGTTGATCAAGTAGAAAGGGGGGAAAGTGATGATGTTGCAAAAAGGGACAATGCAGGAGCCTATGCTGAGTTGGCAACAGAGGATGTGATCTTCTCCACAGTGGAGAGACTAGCCTTGGACAGAAGGGAGGGCCCCCTACACTGTAAGAGAAAGGACCCGTGAGGTTATTACTAGCTGCACTTCCCTCCCTGCCCATGACAAATATTAAATCATGTCCTTACAAACCCAGTAGTAAATTCTAACATTTTCCCAGCCTACATCTATTTGCTAATTTCAGGCACTGAATCAATCAATGCTGTGTTTTTTCCACACCCCGCTAGGCTGCCCAGCAACATTAGCAAAATTTGAATAACAATGATAGTAAGTGGATTCTCAGTGTGCTTCACCTTTTAACTCTTCTTAATTGGGTAAATTTCCCTTTTTCCACACAGATTATTGCAGGAATATTATCAAGGTATTGAGTATAGTCAAAATACTAATTATTCTGTCTTAAGTGCTCTTTAAATTCCAGAGTTTAGTTTAAAAGGCACATGAAGGAGAAGTGATTCTTGCATATATCCCTTGCATTAAAACAGTTTTCAGTAATTTTATAATTATTGGCAATTCAAATGAAATTTTCTCCTTCCTCATACTAGTAAGTTTAAGGCAAAGTGGAATTGAGTCATAAACTCTGCCAGACAACACCACACATTGTTTTTTCTCATAGTAGTATATTTGTGGGAAATTAGGAATGATGTAACCATTTTTATCATTATTTTGCTTTATTATCACTATTGTTATCATCATCATAATTTTACTTAAACACTGTAGAAGACTTCAATCTATTTTGCTATGAATAGAAAGTTAAAGTTAATGGATAAAACTTCTGACCTAAGATAAACTACTTGAACTCCACATGCTTAGAAAAAATAATCACATTCCAACAAATCATGTCCTTCTGTAGGGTAAACAGAACTATAAATTTTGCAATGGATTTAATTTGTATTCAGTTGTTCAATTATCAATTCATTCTTTCTTCTTTTGAACAGAAACAAGTTAGGAAGTTTTTAAAGCACTATAATTGGTATTTTGGCTGATAAATAATCTGAAAATGTATTTATCATTTATAACTGGTAAAAAGTGAAAGGTTTGTAAGAAAACTCATTTAAGCTCAGACAGCATCTTGTATTTTTATACAAATGCATACAAGTTTCACTGACTGTAACTGTAAATTTCTTCTAAAGCTCACCAGTCATTGAGTGCCTGAATTCCTCAGCCCAACATCATCAAAATTTCCCAAGGAAAACAACAACAGTAGGGATATTTTCCTCAGTTACACTAACACAAGGACTGCTTTTTACTACACTGAAAGCAGGTAAACATGATGACTTCGGGGCTTCCTGAATGTAGGATGTTTCCATGTTGAGAAAAACAGCTTGTATCAGAGGTGCCTACCATCATCACCATCACCATCATTATCTTTTTTTTTTTTTTTTGGCAAAAATCATAATGATAAAATGCCCTTAGCATAAGAACACATGTAAATCATACTTAGGAAACATCTACACAACTGACAGTGAATCTTCCTGAAACACTGAATGGTGAGGTTCAGTAAATGCGTACATTTTCTTTTCTCATTATTCTTTAGGACCTTGGCTTGTCTATATTTTCAGTTCGCCATCCTTCCTTATTATCATCATTTAGTTATTTTATTGATAACAGATTAAGAAGTTCTAAATGTTGTTTATGTGAAATTACAATAGGCAGGTCTGGAGTGTTTGGAGTTGATGGGGTTCAGAATACGCTACCTCAAAATACGGCATCCTGGTATACTAAATATTTTTTTTTTAAATTTTTTTTTCAACGTTTTTTTTTTATTTTTTTATTTTTTTTTTTGGGACAGAGAGAGACAGAGCATGAACGGGGGAGGGGCAGAGAGAGAGGGAGACACAGAATCGGAAACAGGCTCCAGGCTCTGAGCCATCAGCCCAGAGCCCGACGCGGGGCTCGAACTCACGGACCGCGAGATCGTGACCTGGCTGAAGTCGGACGCTTAACCGACTGCGCCACCCAGGCGCCCCGGTATACTAAATATTTTAAGCTGTAGGAATTTGAGAAACAGCCTGTCCAGAAAGGACTTTTTGACCTTCACCAGAAGCAGGCCATAAGACCCTCTTGTGAGAGGTGTCCTTCATGTACCTAGAGAAAAGAAGCATTCTCATCTGAAGATGGATGACAAGAAGAATCTGAATCAACAGGCCTTGCTAAATTTACCCCAGTTTACTACACTTAGCTTATACCCTTTGCCCTAATTATATTTTCCACAACCTTCTATTCTTTGTCAAACCCGATACGAAAATGCTCAGGTTTAACTATTTCTTCAGGTCTTATTTCTTTAGGAAGACTTCCATGTCATGTGAAACATATTAAATACATTTTTATGCTTTTCTCTTATTAATTTACCTTTTGTTTCAGGGATACCAGCTGAGAACTTAGAAAGGTAGAAGTAAAAGATGATATTTCTCCTCCCTTACAGAGCAAAAGTAATTGATTAAATAAACTGATGAAATATAAAGGAGGAAATATTAGAGCCACTTTCAAGAAAATTAAAAGAATTTTTGCACAAGGAATACATCTTAGTTTTAGCATATCAAACTTTTTAATATAGCTTTCAGAAAAGAAATCACCATTCACACTGACAACTTCTGAAAGAATAAAGACTGGGAAAAATAAGGTCAGCTACTGTGATTTTCTGCATTCTGCCCTATTCAGCACCTGTTATTTTAGGAAAAGCTAAATTTAACCATTTTTTAATTTTGTTGGCTTGACAGTGAGGCCAACAGTAAAAAAAGAAAAAAGTTGACAAGCTGAAGTAATATTTATCTTTTCTGGTTCGATAAAAAAATTAAAGCCATTAGCTTTATAAAAGTATTTAAAAGTTGGCAAACCATAAAACAGACTCTTAACTATTAAGAACAGGAGGTGGGTGGGGGGATGGGTTAAATGGGTGATTTGTACTAAGGAGGGTACTTGTATGATGAACACTAGGTGTCGTATATAAGTGATGAATCACTAAATCCTACACTTGAAACTAATCTACTGTATGTTAACTGGAATTTAAATAAAAACTTGAAAGAAAAAAATTAAAAATTAAAGTATTTAATAGTTGGAAGAGGTTTATGTGATTAATATCAAAGAATATTGGCATACTTTATAGGTTGTTATGCCTACAAAAATTATAGCATATGCATTCAAATACTTGCATAGATGCTTATTAAATTATTCTGAGATCAAGAAGCAAAGACATAGTACATGAAAAGGTATACTTTTAAAAATGAAATTACCTGATTATTCAGCAAGTTTTCTTTATATTATTTTTAGAACAGCAGAGTGTTTTATTTTTTCTTAAAAATTCATTTTAATTGTTTAAAGATTAGAAAGCAGAAAGAATAATTTTACATGTACTTATTTTCAATGAAATACTAGTCAATTAAATCAGAACCTGCTAAAATTCAAATTCATATGTACTATAATTAATAATTTGTACACATCATAAAAACATAATTAAAGGAATTCGTATGAAATACAATAGTGATTTAAATCCTTTACCAAAACATGGACGAATGCTATCAATAAAAAACACAAAATATACAATGTAAAGAAAAATGATGTATTAAGTCTTACATTTTATTACGGTGTCCAATATTTTGGCAATTCCTCAGCAGAGAACTTGTCATTACTGTTTCCACAAATGGGATTCTTTTAGTGGGGATACTGTTTAATTTGCTGTCTTCTCTCTTCTGGTCTGCTATTTCTCCCTGATTTCTTCCTTCCGTATCTTCACATAGAGAGGATTTGGTTGATGTAGAATGACTAGAGTCAGAATTCATCCATTTCTCAGAAATATCTGGTGATGCCAGTTTATACCTGTCTGCACAAGACTGGAGAACTCTATTTTGCAGGATGCTATCACTATCTGTAGCTAAATGATTTTGCTGGACTTCTGATTCTTCTCTCTGGGTGATACGTGCATCCCAGCGTTCATGTGAATATCGGCATTCATTACTAAGTGTCATTAATTTCTTAAAATAATGGCAGAGATTTTCTGCAGCATCCAAGGTGACCAAATTTCTAAACAAATAAAGAAGACATTTAATAATAAGAACTATATCACCAATATTAAAACTGATACAGGTTTTGGAAATTTCCCTTGTGTGGTTTGACATGAAAATTAAGCTTTACTACAATATTCATTAAAAACTTATTTCTGGTTGTTTATATAGAAATTGATCTCATTTCTAACAAAATTTGAAAATATTTGTTTAGCTAATTTAGATCCGTCAATCCAGACAAAATGTCTGGAAGTTTTAGAACCATTTTTATTCTAGGTATTTTTGGTACAATTGAATGAGAAAAATCCATGCTTTTACTACCATAAACATGAGAGATCATGGCTGCCTAAATTTGGAGAAGTTATTTATGAAACAAAGTTAAAAGTACTTTCTACATTGACTCTTGCCATGCAAAATATTTGTATTGGACTTTTAAACAAAGAATTTATATTATGGGAAAGTTTTTATTCCCCTTTTTCTCTGGAAAAATAATCCATTGCAAAGAGAATTCAAATACTTTAAGATATAAATGGTGGTGATTCTCTAAAACAATTGTTGAATTTTTATCTTATGGAGGCTATGGCTTATGTAATTAATCAAACTTTCTGTTTGCCAGATTTGAGGATCTCAGTAGCAAATGTAAAGAACTTTGCACTTGTATGAGCCTTTTTCTTGGCTACACTTTATTTACCTTCCATTATTTATTTTTTTTTTAATTTTACTTACTCCAACTGTATATTTTCTAAATATATTTAATATATAGCCACAAGCTGCCTTATCTTTTTCTTGCAGGATATAAATAAATACAAAACTTTTAACCATACCATAAAAATGAAAGTTATAGTTCCTCAATGTAGAGATAAATAGTCTTGTGTTCACAAAGGTATTATCAGACATTAGCATAGTCTCCTCCAATATATATTTTGAATATTTTGTACTTCATTCATTTTGGTGGCTAATAATGTAGAAAAGTTTCAATTCAATATTGGGATATCAAGTGGTTATTGATTAGGTATTGAATTCACCATTTATTATTAATATAAAATATAGTCTATTTTCCATTATCAATGCCAAAATGAAACAAGTTGCAATGACAATGGATTATCCAAAGGAATTGAGAAATCTATGTTTCAACATGAGAGCTATCAAGGGTCACCTTTAAACAAAAAATTGCATATTACCATACATATTCAAGGAAGTATGTTTAGTTTTGCACAAAATAAATGTAAATAACCTTAGTCTTTATTAAAAGTAAAAAGTAATTATCTGTAACAATTATTATTTTTGAGAGAGAGAGAGAGAGAACAAGCAAGAGGCAGAGAGAGAGGGAGAGAAAGAGAATCCCAAGCAGGCTCCGCACAGTCAGTGTAGAGCCTGAGGTGGGGCTCCAAGTCACAAGCAGTGAGATCAAGATCATGACCTGAGCCAAAATCAAGAGTTGGATGCTTAACCAACTGAGCCACCAGGCACCTAGGTGCCCCAGACAATTGGGATTATTTAAAAGCTGTGAGATTTGTTTTTAATCTCAATGGACTATATACAAAAATATTTAAATAGAAAAACCAAATCTTATGTAGATGGGCATGTATGAAAGTGCAAAGAGCAATAATTTAAAAATTAAGTTTAGGTATTTAGAAGCGCATATTACAATTATAATTCCAGTTTTAATGGAGAGTCCTCATAAGTGAAATATGAAATCACTTTCCTTTTTCATTTGTGTTTTCTGGAGCAATGCAAATTAGAAAATATAATTATAGAGGGGTGTCCAGGTGGTTCAGTCAGTTAAGCGATCAAGTTTTGATTTTGGCTCAGGTCATGATCTCATGGTTTGTAAGATCAAGCCCCACACTGGTCTCTGTGCTGACAGTGCAGAGCCTGCTTGAGATCCTCTCTCTCCTTCTCTCTGCTCCTTCCCCACTCATGCTCTTTCAATAAAAAAATATTAAAAATCTTTAAAAATAAAAGAATATACAGTTATAGAAAGATCAAATATAATTCATTCATACTAACGTACCCTGAATTTTGGATGGGGAATGGGAAATTCTCTTTCTTTTATATCTAATTAGGATTCTACTCTCAACTTCTGTTCTTCTGAATATGTGCATGTGTTGACTGCTCTTATCTACTGTGCGCTCATAATATTTGAATATATTAATATAATATATGTACAATATACCTAATACATAATAAATGTTGTATGCCTTGCTCCATTGTAACTGTTTGTCTAATTTTCTCTTATGCTAATCTGTTAATTCTTTGAAGATAAAGTATAAAACTTAGCTTATTGTGTATTTTGTTTACAATCACTGTCAAATAAATTTATGACTGATTCATTGAATGACTGACTGAAGGGATGTTTGATTCTTGTCTTGAAGCTATCCTCATGATTTCACTTATCTAACACTTTAGCATTGAAATTATATTTTAAATTGTGTTTTTAAGAGAGAATATCCTTAAAATACACAGTACTAATTTAAAAAAAAATCACTGTATTAATCAGCATATTTTTTTAATTATATACATAAATTGCATTATTTCTTTAAATTATGAGAAGAGAACAGTCTTACCCTTTCACAGTAATATACTTTTCAATTAGTAAGTTGAATTCTTGAATCTGGGACTGACAAAGTACCAAGAAACGTCCTAATTCTGGTTGATAGTATTCTTCAGTCTGCCTTTCTGAACAAGAATTTATCATTTCACCATTGAGGATTCTTAGAGCCGGTAACACTTTAAGTAGAGAATGCCTATTGAAAGCAGGAAAAAAATAAATAATCTTGAAGAGTTTATATCTAAAATAACCATATACCTATTACTTAAACAATATAAACACAGAGTGTATCTCAGAAAATGCTATTGGTTTTGTAGAGAAAATGATACTGTTCAATTTGTTAAAAATTTCTATGGTATCATGTCATGTACAAAGTTAAATTTTAGAGACTTGACAACATTTAACCATTTTCTTCTATAACATAAACGGGAAATTTAGCAGATGGAAACTTGGGCTGGGAGTAAGTAAAAAGCTACATTATAAAAAAATAATATCAGATACAGTATTTTAAAAATATGATAATTAAAATAAAACTACTGAAATTTGTTGCTTATTTTAGAAGTAGAGGTAAATTCTGATTGTTTCTCTTAGTAAAACATAGTTAAGAGTAGGGCTAAAAACAAGAGTAGTAAACAATCACCTTGTTTATCATGATCTGAAAAATCTAAACTTATATTTCTTCTTGAATCTTGCTAAAAATTATGATAATAAAAATATTCAAAGAATGCACAAAAGTCTGTACCAATTTAAAAGGCTAATGGTGTGAAAATCCAAGCCAGACAGCAAGAGCTTTCCACCAGGCCTAGCCATTTATAAGTATTTACCCAATCCTTTCACAAGGGTACTGTGGGCCTCTTTTCACAAGGCCATTAATGGTCAAAGGGGTAAAATGGACTTCTTGAATGAATAAATCCCCCTTAGTTAGAAACTAAATTTCTTACGAGGAAAAGTACAAACTGATGAAAGATATCAACAAACTAAATAAATGGGAAGATGTCCAATGAAGATATTTTCATAGATAGGAAGTTCAAAATTGTTCAAGAGATCATTCCTTCTCAACTTGATCTTTAGATCCAATGCAACTCCACTAAAAGTACCAGTAAGGTATTTTGTGTATATCAACAAAATGATACTAAAATTTACAAAAAGAAGCCAAAAAACAACAACAAAAAAAAAAATCCAAAAAGACAAAAACAAAAAACAAACAAGAATAGCCAATTCCACACTGAAAAAGAAGAAAAAAGTTGGAAAACTAACACTTTTCACTTCACACTGACTACAAAGCCACAGTAATTATGACAGTATGGTATTGGCAAAAGAATAGACAAATTTATCAATGGAAGAGAGACAGACAAATATATCAATGGAAGAGAAGAGAGAACCCAGAAGTAGACCTCCATGAATCTACTAAAGTGGATCAGTCAACTAATCTTTGACAAAGAAGCAAAGGCAATACAATGGAACAAAGATAAATGATGCTAGAACAATCAGACATTTACATGCAAAAAAGTGAATCTAGACACAGACTTTGTATCCTTCAAAAATTTAACTCAAAATGGGTCATATACCTAAATGTAAAATGCAAAACCATAAAACTACTAAAAGATAACATAGGAGAAAAAATTAGACGGCACTGGTATAATGATGACTTTTTGATAATAACACCAAAGATACAATTCATGAAAGAAATAATTGATAAGATGGACTTCATTAAAATTAAAAACTTCTGCCCTGTGAAAGAGTATCGAGAGAATGTGAAGACAAGCAATATACTAGGAAAAATATCTGATAAAGGGTTGTTATCCAAAATATATGAAGAAATTTTAAAGCTCAATAAGAAAATAAATACACCAATTAAAAAATGGGCCATAAAACTTAATAGACCCCTCACCAAAGAAAATATACAGATGGTAAGTAAGTATATGAAAGATACTCAACATCATTTGTCATTAAAAAACTGTAAATTAAAATAACAAGATACTATTATCTATTAGAATGGCCAATTCAAAACGCTGACAATACCAAACGCTGGTGAGGATGTGAAGAAATAAAAACCCTCATTCGTGCTGGTGGAAATGCGGAATCAGTGCAGCTATTTCGGAAGATAGTTTGGTGGTTTCTTACAAAACTTAACATACTTTTACTATACGATCCAGCAATGTGCTTCTCAGATTTACCTAAATGAATTAAAAACTGTATCTGCACCAAAATCTCCACACAGATGTTTATAGCAGCTTTATTTGTAATTGCCAAAACCCGGAAACAACCAAGATGTCCTTCAGTAGGTGAAAGGATAAATAAACTGAGTTACATCCATACAAAGGAGTATTATTCAGCACTAAAAAGAGATGAACTATTAGGCCATGAGTAGGGAAGATTCCTAAATGCATATTACTAAGTGAAAAAAGACAATCGGATAGGGCTACATGCTGTACAATTCCAACTATATGAAATTCTTGAAAAAAGTCAAAACTGAGACAGTAAAAAGATCAGTGTTTTCCAGGGATTAAGGTGAAGGGAGGGAGGAACAGGCAAAGCACAGAGCATTTTTAGGGCAGTGAAACTATTCCGTATGATACTACTACATAGCGAATACATGTCATTATACATTTGTCAAAATCCATAGAATACACAACACCAAGAACAAACCCTAATGTAAAGTATGGACTTCAGGTGATAATGATGTGTTGATGTAGGTTCATCAATTATAACAGGTATACCACTTTGGTGTAGGATGCTGATAGTCGGGGAGGTTGTCTATGTGTGGGGACAGGGTATACCTGGGAATTCTCTGTATTTTCTGCTTAATTTTGATAACCTGATCTTCTCTAAAATATAAATTTTTTAATGTTTATTTATTTATTTTGAGAGACAGAGTACAAGTGGGGCAGGGGCAGAGAGAAAGAGAGAGAGAGAGAGAGAGAGAGAAAGAGAGAGAGAATCCCAAGCAGGATCTGCACTGTCAGTGTGGAGCCCAACACGGGGATCAATTTCATGAATCATGAGATTATGACCTGAGCTGAAATCAAGAGCCAGATGCTTAACTGACTAAGCTACCCACATGGCCCCCAAATATACAGTTTTTAATTAAAACACAAAATAAGACAAACTCACAGTTCTCTAAAAACTAAATGAAGGACGGCAAGATAAGATTACAAAAATGCCAAGGTTTAAGAAAGAAAACTCCAGTCAGGTACTCCTTCCACCTAGATGGTATATAGTCAGGGTCAACATATCCATTTATAAAAACACAATTGTAAAATATAATTTTTATATTTATAGAAATACTTTATATAATAATTTATATATAACTTATATTTATATAAATTTATATTTACATATTTATGTATACTTTATATATAAATGAAGAAAGTGGTCCACTGAGGCAAAAATGCCAAGGCCCAACTAAAGTCATAACACATTACTATGTATAGTTATGATCTTGATAGTCTTGGTATTTAATAAAAGATAATCACAAGAAATGTATAAATACATTTCCTTTAATGGAAGCAAAAAAAGAGAAGAACATCACAGTTTTTCATTTACTCAGGATACATGATTAATTTCCCACGCTTACCTCCCTCCACCCTTTGAGAAATAATACTTTTTTTCTCTCGCAGATATTTAAATAAGGAAAGAGGGAAAGCAAACAGATTATGTTCAAGATAACTATCAGATGTTTTACAGTGTTAAAGAGCTTAATCTAGTTAATAAAACTTGGGTCCATCACTTCTTGGCCTTTTGGCTAAGATCAAGTGAAGACTAGGGTCCATTTATTTGGAACTTTTTTAAGCTTTTTTTTTTTTTAGGCTTGAAGATACCAATATTGGTCATATCAGAAACTACCGCACTTACTGCAAAAGGTTAAATAACTAGCATATATTGCATTTCTGTTTGGATTCATTTTAAGATGTGGTTCAAAAGCAGAATGCTAATTAAGATAATGGCTATTCATCACAGAGGTACAATACTAAATATAACATGAAATCTTTGACTGAGGATACCATCAAAACAAGGAAAGGTTGAGCTCTGAAATTGAAGCTGGTAATAATTAAAATATAATGGAGAGATTAACTATCCATATTCTATCCTATCAAATTGTTTATTACATTAGTAATGAAACTATATTGCATTCTAAATCCCCCTCAAGTATACAGTCAAGTTTTCTTCAAGACATGACATGTCAGAATAACGTGGCTATAAAATGCCACATATGAAATAAAGATGCTTTTGAAATGTGATAATAAAGGGTAGTAAAAGTTAAAACTGTATTGGTGTTTATACAGCTTAAAAAAGAACATGCTCTAATCCTATTGATGATCTTATTTCATTAGATCATCTCCTAAAATACAGAAGAGCAAACGTAAGGCTTCAATAATGTGATGGAACCAGCCCTAGACAATAACCAACAGTTTTAATTCCTTGTGTACCATGCAAATTTCTCTCTGATAATTTGGTCTCCAGAGTGGACCTGATCAGCAGAAGGAATGAGGTATGCTAATGACCTGCTTTGGTCTTTAAAATAGGTATATTTCTTATAAGGAAAATTAATAAAGCAGATTTTCTTATTATAATTTGGATCTCTTAAGACTTAGATAAAGCTGGGGCGCCTGGGTGGCTCAGTTGGTTAAGCGACTGACTTCAGCTCAGGTCATGATCTTACAGTTCATGAGTTAAAGCTCCGCGTCAGGCTCTGTGCTGACAGCTTGGAGCCTGAAGCCTGCTTCAGATTCTGTGTCTCCCTCTACTTCTCCCCCTCCCCTGCCCGTGCTCTGTCTCTCCCTCAAAAAAATAAACATTAAAAAAATTTTTTAAAGGGGTAAAGCTGATTTTTTTTATTTCTATTGTTCAGTTAGTTCTGGTTGAACAATAACAATAAGCTGTTGGATCTATAATACTTTTCATTGGGATCCTGGACCTACAGTGATATTGCAGATGAAGTAACACTTAAAACCCTCTTGAACGGCCATCTTTCAGGTGTCATTTTATCTAATTAAGAAGATGTCAACAAAATGAAGAAAATACTCATGCTGCAATCATGAGAACCACAGGGTCTCACACATGTGTTCTTTATCTTAGTCACTCTCTAAATCCATTGTGATGGTAATTCAAGGCTAAATCTCTATGTGTGTCTCCAACCTTGCAGGGCAAGGTCTCTGAAAAGATCCTCCTTGAACTACTGTATCAGTAGTACCT